CATCTCGGTTTACCTTCCAATCGGCCCCCTTCTCCTGGGGGGATTGGGGGTGGCGGCCAGGGCCCTCTCCAAAGAGCGGAGTGTACCTGGGGAACCAGGCGTCCAGGATCTTTACGGAGTATGGAGTATCGAACTAGTGAAGGCGCCTTACGGTCAAAGATTCCCCACGCCATCCGATGCGACATGAGCGCTGGCACGTACAGCTGACATGTCAGCCGAAAACATCCCGGCAGAAGGCGAAACAAGCCCGAGCCGTTGTGGAAAAGGGAAAGACAATAGAGAAAAGATTGTGCAGACGAAAAAAATTTCGATATTGGTCATATTAATTGTGCCGACCGTGACCGATTGCGCCAAGATTGGGGCGATTGCGCTTGGCGCACCGTGGCGAGCCTGTGAGAAGGACGAGTCTGTGAAGCCGATGGACTACTACGTCTTGGCAGTAGCTTTGGCGAGTGAAGCAATGTGGCTTAATAATTCTGCCTTTTCCCCCCGGTGCTTGAGTGTGCTTGAGTGCATTGAAAGGCTTGGAGACTCCCACAACGGTCGAGGACAGTATCTTGGCGACGTGGAGTATATGGAATCAGACACACTGAGATTACGCCAAGAAAGTGGAGGACTGGAAATGCCTCACGGATACCACGCTGGAGAGTCACCTGGATAGGAAATTTTTTCTGTCAAGCTGCCGTTGTTAGGCAAGGACCTGTTGGCATTTATTTTTTCCGACGACTCACAGGCCGGCTTGGCACATCGACGAGGCGACCTACTGAATAAACCAGACCAAAATGGGATCGAGAGAGCGCCATGTGGTTACAGATTCCCTGTCCTGCCTCGGCTGAGTTTCAAAAAATGGCACTTCGTAGTCTCATGCCTTCTCCCCGCGCGATCTCCGCGATAGCCAGTATGGGCCCATGGGGAGATGCCATTTCCCCAGGTTTTCCGAACAGTCTGTTACTTCCAGTAAGCGGATAAGATGGAAACCACTTGACCCTGACGTGGCCGAAGTTTTGCCATCATCTCGGTTCGACGTAGTGCGTACTCCGTACTTAGGTTCGCTTTGCCGATCTTTGCAGTTCCCGGTTGAACCCTGTGGCGGTCCGACCGAGCAGTTATCGTGGGTTGCGTATCGGATCTTGGTCCAATTTCGCTGGCTGAACGGGGTCAAATCGCAAGCCAGTTTGCCGCTTCGGCATGCGCTAGTCTTTTCCCTTCCCCGTGCCGTTTGTGGCTCCATCGTTCCCGCCGGGGAAAAAAAATCTCAAGATACGACAACCTCAACGCCAGTGACGTGGATGGCGCTTTTCATTGATCTTTATGGGGATTGTCTCATCCATTTACTGTGTTGCGGGACCTCGGCCCCTCACGTGTCGGTCTCTCATTCGGTCCACGTGATTCAATGGTCTGAGTGTCTTGAACGGGCATAGCGTGGGGATAACTCCCCATGTCCCAATAACCCTGCTTTATATGTATCGTTGATATGATAATTCGCCAAAACTGGATAAGGCTAAGTAGCATGGCTTACGGAAACGTTCTAGTCGTAGGGCGTATATCTGGGGACGACCGCAGGTGCTCCGAAGATATATAATCATGCACGTTCGCACCCACTACCATATGGGTCTAGAACATGCTAGCGTCAGGAATCTACTTTTTGTAAATCAAGACATGTGACCAAGATATAGAAGCTTCGAAGGCCGAAGGAATGTCTCAGCAAGGGCGCTGCCTAAACCGAGCGGGCCCCAGAAAAGGAACAAAAGGAAGAAAGTGTACGGAGTAAGCTAACCATGGTATCCACCTCGTACAACTGATCCTCTTCGGCTCAACTTGCCTCATGTTTCTTGATGGCGCTGCTGGAAAGCATGTGCCCTTGTCCCGGAAACGACTTTCTCAAGGGCCGGCCCTGATATCCAAGATTGGTGTCCTAAGAATCGCAGTGATATCTCAGAGCCATACTGCTGGATTACCCAATATTGACACCCAGGGTGTCAGTATGAATAGATCTGTCTTCCTTGAATTGATGCTCTCTACGATCGCACGCCCCAGGGAAGTCTTCGATGAGCCCTAGCCAGAACTACTCGATTAACCTTAAGTGTGAGCTTTTCGCGATACCCTAGCCCGATTTTCAGTCCCTTGTGCGGACTAGATATGTTGAGTAGCTTGACCATCAATAGCTGTTAAAGCTCTAGGACCGTTTCGATAGCATGACTGCTGCCATGTCACGTTGAACCGAAATGGCTCTACTGAATTGACAGACTTAACAACTTAAGCCTGGGCAGTAACCGCAATAAGTATCCGTATTTTCCTGCTTTCTTATTCAAGACTATGTCTAAAATCTCAAGCGGAAGTCCGGATGTGTTATGCTTCACGAATGTGCAATTCTTCTGAGGCTTCAACTCTGTTGGTCAAGCGACGATACAGTCTCTCACGGTAGAACCAGGCATATATGTCATACATATACCACATCACGTAGTTCGACCAGGCGGAGCTGGATGTTATATATATAAGCACTCAGCGCAGTCATGGCTACATGACTACCATGTAGGCACCGACCGGGAGGTATTACGGCTCATATTTTCAAGAACGATGCCCAGAGCCTTCTACATCTCGCTTTAAGCTAAGGTATGTTCCTGAGCTGCACTAAATGGCGTACCTGATCAGGCAGAACTTGGCACACCTGTTTGAAAAGAGGCACGACGGTGAAGCTTGACTCTCTCAAGCATCGAGAGCTCCATGCTTGGCATGATAGTACGTAATAAGGCTATTTGAACGTAATGGTATATACAAAATCAGGTTCAGCTGTCTTCATGGCCGTGAGACGGTAAGTAATCTGGGAGTGCCCTATGACTATGCAATGCATACTGATCTATCTCGACCTAGCTTCACATACACATCCATTCTCCCGCCGTTAAGCCCTGCATCGAAAAGACGTACCCTTGGTAATCGAACATTTTAGTTCAGACCCTCAACAGCCTCTCTCAAAGTATCAACAGGTTGACGGCCGCCAGACGCACTTGTACCGTCGCATCGAGTGAGGGATTATTGCAGTTAATGCAGCAGCGCTTGTCGGGCCACTGTGCTGGCGTTTCGCCAAGCTTGCAGCGAGCGTTCGGGTTGTCACAGAGTATACATCAACGCTTCTCCGGTCCAAAGAGAGCTTCTTCCTCTGTTTCGATAACCTCGCGTTTGTGGTTGGCTCCACACCTGGCGTTGGGGCCATCAGAAAGGACGCAACAGTGTTTGCTGATCCATGACTATATGATCACGAGGCTAGTAGCTTGTGTGATATTCCTTCTCGGTTCAATATGAGCGCATATATAGAGGAGATTGATGGAAGGGGAGAGGGATATGTTATTCTCCAGGGAGCTTGTTATCCAAGGATACTAACCTCGTTACTGCTCATGTCAGCCGCGAGAAATGTAGGATTCCTGGTCTCGACGGGGCTAGCGAAGCTAGGAAGCACCAGAAGTGAGCAGAGAATGCCGATGGTGGAGAAGCGCATGGTAAAAGATGAGTCGACCTTTGAGTGGCAAAAAAGATTCAATGCAAGATCAGGATCCGACTATGCTGAGAAAAAGAAGTGAGCGTATCATGACCTGGCTGGGGATTCACGGCAGTCTATATATGCTTCTGCGATCGGGGATATCATCCCCGAGGTCAATACAACCTTCAACAACAGCTTCCACCTGTGTCCACCTGCAAGAGCCCTGATTTTATCCAGCATTACTATAATTTATACAACAACCCGTCGCGATGATCCCATTAATCCGGGCCCTTTGATCAGGTCGTTATCGATAAGATAAGATAAATTCCAGTGATTACCCACTCTACAAGTGAGACAACAATTTACCACATTAGCTGGGTGGCCAGATTACTGAGCGTCATTTGCTTCAGGGAAGTGAAAAGCGAGGCTAATGCACGGCCGAAGAATGCTATCCAGCGAGAGCGGGGAACTTGTCACCAATTATCGTACTAGATCGGCAAATATTCGGACAGGAATAACATCAATGAGTAGCCACCATGATGAACGTCAGAAAATATGGACTGTGCACCGGAACTGGGCCGAACGTGTCGTGGTGCAGTTGTGTTAGTTGTGGGCCCTAAGCTTAGGAACTGAACTAGTTTCATCTAAACTATTTAGATTACGTGTTACAGGTTAAATGCGCTTGGAGGAAAGGTTTGAGATTCAAGTCAACACAGAGGTTCATGGTGTTTCAAGCCCCCCTTCTCCTAGATTCTATGAAAGTGGCTTCATTGCGATCCCTACTAAACCGCACTATATCTAGAACCCTCCATCATTATAACCATTTTGTTTTACTCTTGTCATTACTGGGACTTTTAGGGTGGAGGGAAGCTCGTCAAGCGGTTTCTGAAGACAAGAGGCTTGAGAACAGACAAGTCACTTTAAGAAACAGCATTACTTTCACATGGATAAGGCTACTCTTTGAAGTGTCCATAATATATATGCCTAGACCCTATCCACTTCAAATTAGTCTGAACTTTGTATGCGGCTGGTTCATTGGGTATGTTACGCATACAACCCGGGAAACGAAAGGCTTTCGTGCATGTTTATATCCATCTACTATTACGCATATATTTCATAAAATTTAGATATAGTAGTTGCAAATAAATATACTCTAATAAATTCCTTAACAGCCTTTGTATATGTACAAGCCTCAACACCCCACTGGTTGCCGCACAGGCACCTGTCAATGCAGCATAGGGAGCATCCAGGGGTATTATATCCCAAGTCACCGTAATCTCAGGTATGAGTTACAGAGTAAATATCCATCCAAACGAGCAACCTTTGCGCGTGGGTCATGATCACATGTAGGGTAACGGGAAGCGGATGAGGATTCCACCATATTTCATCGACTGGTTATCAAGGTGAAGAACGCTTTCCATGCGGGCTGTGAATCCATTCAAACAAATCTAATCTATAGATACAAATACAATTATCAATGCGTATAATACAACAACTCCGGCCCGATGCTGGAACAATGCAAAAATCAAGCGTTATTTGCACACGAGAAACTAGCGCTACTGGGGTCATCGTGCAATGCTTTGCCTGACACGTACAGGCCGAGACCACACTGTAACGTGAGTTAGTGAGGAGTTGAGAGGGCAGTCAGGGTACCATGGAAAGAACGTACGATGCATCCTGCAATTGCGAATATAAGGACATTGAGGATGGTGAGGAAGATTTTCATGGGCGTCGCGAAGAGTCGGCCCTTGTTGAGGTAGAGCCAGAACGTGGCGCTGAGGCCGTCTATTCGCTTTGTTAGTATTGGATGTTCGGGGGTTGGGGGTTAGGCGGTGCATACAGGTGAACCAGCTTGCGAAGAGAGAGGCCTAGGATATATGTCAGTTGGATTCATTGCGAAATTGCAGAGTAATAGCAGGGACGTACAACTAAGCTCAGAAGGTTGTTGAAGACCGGAATCGCCTCCGCGATGACCCATGCCACGATCCACAGAAGCAACATAAGGACGATCCAAGAGCCAGTGGCCACTAGATCCTTCTTGTGCATGCGGTCGCTGCCACGGAACAGACGGACGTAGACGTACTTGCACGCGACGTGGCCGTTGACAACGCCACCAATGATAATCTGGTGACCATGTTAATAATATACTTCTCCGAGCTGACATTCGTAATGCACTCACAGTAGGAAGCGCAATGCCGTAAGCCACCTTGCGCACCACAGGACTAGCAGATCCTAACGCCGGGGAAGTGACGTCCTGGCCAGCGTAGTAGTAAATCACGACAGCGGTGACAATGTAGAGAATGACATCAATGCCCTGAAGAAGAAACAGAGACTTGGGGTAATCTTTCGGATCCTTGAGCTCGGACATAAATCCAAAAAAGGCAACATGACCCGCTAAAATCCATGTTAGTGAGCCTCAGAGGACACATGGTGGGAGAGAAACATACAGAAAGAAAATACAATGTTGCACACAGCAAGGAATGCCTTGTACAGGCTGGTGTCGACCGTCGCCTGGACCCCACCGTGCCACGGGCGTTGGATGCCAAGCGCAATCATGACAATCATTACGGCGCTAAAGACACTGATGAAAGCTGGCGGGGCGTCAGTAAATCTAATTTTCAGAAATTCGAAGGGGCTGGCAACACTCACAAGCAATAGAGAGATACGACACCTTGGCCGATGTGCGCGGTAAACATAAGACATATGAGATGACTAGTCCCACAACACCAAAGACAATGGAGCAGGTTCCGTGGTCGGTGATGGAATTCATGGCCACCGTAAAGGTAAGGATGTGACTAGCCATGATGAAAATGATAAGCAGAAGTTGACCAGTCCCCAGGAACTCGCGGCCGAATTTGCCGAGCAGGACCTCGCCGGCATCGGCCATGCTTTGAATGTGAGGATAGCGCCATCTGAACTGCCCAATGGTATAGCCAGTATAAGTCGCCAGAAGGCCAAGGCCGAGCAGAAGAATAATAGCACTTTTAGTAGATGTCAGTAAGTGCAATGAGCATCCTCTGGGAATGGGGGTTCCTACGGGACAAGGCCTAAGGCAGCAACCACGGCGGGTAACGAGAGAATCCCCAGCGAGACCGTTTCCGCGACCATCACTCATGAGGGTCAGTACACTTCCCCGAACACTAGCTCCCAAGAGTTACTCACGAAAACCACATTGCCTGTATGAAACCCGTCAGTAAGTTGGAATCGTTTGAGAATTGAGATCGTCAACATACCACCAGCTCAGCACCTTGTACTTCACCTCGGCGTATTCTTCATCACCAAAGGTGTCCTGATATTCCGGACGAGCTTTCTCCTCTTGCTGCTTTTCCGTATCCTTGAAGCTGACATCATATTCTGCGTCCTGACTCGTGTCACTCAGTACATTGCTTCCATGATGATCCGGTGAGGGAGCCATGAGTGCGCTTTGGGGGAAGTCTGATATTGCACTGGCTAATGACCAGCGTGAGGTGACTCTCAACCGGAGGCAGAGGGGCACCGAGAAAGAAAGGAAAGCGGTCACGGAAAAGAAAAACAAGCAAAAAGAATAAAAAAGAAGAGGAAAAAGAACGAAGAAAAAATGGGGTGAAGAAGCGGAGAATGAAGTTGACGGATACTACACAGCTACACCAACGGTCCGAAGTGCTCCACGCTCGTCAACCGGTCGCGATTGATTACTCTGGGGAAGACGGTGTCTAAGGGAAATGAAAGAAAAGCGCCATTGAATCAAGCTCAACGTCAGGAAAGCCTGGTGATTATTGCCTGACTCACCTTCGCCTGGAGAAGAGGGAATATTCTGCAAGTGTGTTGAATTTGTTACCTAATTAGTTTCCGGCCGGGTGGCGCCTATGTGGAGTGCCACCGCCACACTTCAGCCAATGGAAACCCTGAAGATGTCTGATCGTCAGCCACACTAACCTAGAAAATTTCAGTTGAGTGCCTTAGGGTGCCTCAGGGCCGGGGCTTCCTGCAGGTACTCCTCCAATCACGGGTGTCCACTAACGAATTTGGAATGTTCGGCTACAGTTCCACCGCACACCACTGGTCATCCAGGCCGATCCAGATGTTGAACCCCAGAAACTTTAACGGGAAACGGACTCGGTGACTTAACCTCGGTCGGATGCATGGAGAACCGATAAGTCACGGTTTAAACCTTAAATGGATACATCGCATTCAGATTGATAATTCAACGCGGTCATATTACTACTACCCTAAACCAATGGCGACAAGAAGCGCAAAGCCTCATACCATCATATCCAACCCATTCCCGGAATCCATATTGAATACCCATACTGCCATTAATCGTCGACTCCTGTCACGTGAGCCCAGTGCCCCCGTCATTCCAAAACGTCCACCAGGATAGTCATCACTCGTAATCATACAGCTGTTTCTGCGGCGGCACATCCCGGCGGAGGATGTACTTCTTCACATACCAAGGCATCATGCCACGATAGTGATTGATATGCTTGCGGGTAGGCACCGAAAAGACCTGATCCAATTCTTCCAGAGAGAGCGCCTTGGTCTCCGGCAGGCAGAAATAGCAGAAAATCCACCCGAAGAAATTCCATGCTGCGTACCAACCGAACGCCCCTTGGACGCTGAATGCGTCCCGCAGAGGGAGCCATGTGAGTGAAACGATGAAGTTGAATCCCCAAGTCGTGGCCGTCGCAAATGACATGCCGATGTCACGGATGTACAGTGGCTGTCTAGTTTAGCTTTGGTCGAAGACAGGGGAGGATAGGTAAGAAAAGTTACTCACAAATGCTTCGGCAGAGTATGTGAAAGGCACGGGTCCCTCCCCAGGCGAGTAGACAATCATATACAGATAAATACCGGTTGCGACACAGGCCGTTCGAGGAGTCTGATCGGGGATGTAGAACGAAAACCCGGTAAAGAGTAGGAACAGGCACATCAGAGGGAACGTGGTCAGGAGAAGGTTGCGCCGGCCAAAGGTATCGATCGTGTACACCGCCGGGAGAGCAAAAATCCAGTTCGTGATGCCACATCCGAGAGACACAACAAGCGCCGTTCGGAGATCAAATCCCGCGTCCCGAAACATCGACGAAGAATAATACATTATCGCGTTCACCCCGCAGAACTAGACGATGTTAGGGGTACAGATGGCCGTTTGGGACGCCCAAACACAAACCTGTTGCATGAACATGACGAAGAAAGACGACTGTGCGGCGCGCCGGTTACGGGGGACGGTAAACATCTCACGCCACAGGTGTTTTCCTTCCCGGAGCTTCTCTTCAACTTTCAACGCAGAGTGAATATAATAAAGGTCCCTCGCAGCCTGAAACCCCGATGGGCGCAGCTTGCAAAGTGCCTGGTACGCGTCCCGGTAGCGGTTGCGGATCATATACCATCGCGGTGACTCGGGACACAGATAAACCTGGATACAAACAAAAAAGGGACTCGGGACTGTTAATTCAGATACGATAAAGCTACAGAATGGTCACACCCGTGGAGAAAACTTACGGAATGGCGGTCGACCCCAGCATAAGCCTCCAGTTGAAACCTGGGATGGTTGCATGCGACACATCCATGAACGCGACAGAAGCAATATAGCCCAGCATAATGCCGAATGCTGTCCACATCTGCCACATCATCACCAGGGCACCGCGTATATTAGCGGGCGCACATTCAGCGCCGTAGACTGGAGTAGTCGTTGACTTTGCACCCACCGCAAACCCTAACAGGAAGCGACCGAGCAGGAGATTCCACCAGGTGTGTGCAGCTGCCATCCAGAAGGAGGAAGCAAATGAGATGAAGCAGGAGATAAATATACAACCGCGTCGTCCGAACCAGCGATTGAGCGGAGCAGTAGTCCAACAGCCGATAAGTGCTGAACAAAGATATGGAGCGCCATTCACTAGGCCTTGCAACCACGAATTCGTGATGTTGAACTCCACAAAGTAGTATCTGGCTACTGTTAAACTGACAGTCATTGCCTAAATCAGTTAATTTTACTCACTCTTGTGCCCCGTTCACTGCAGTTTGATCCATTCCCTGAACAATTGCGGAACCAGCGCAGAGGACTATAGATTCTCGGGGTTAAAGAAAATTTTTTTAAAAAAAAAGGAAAGGAGAAGAGTAAAGAAAGTAATTTGAAAAGAGAAAAAGGGAGAAAAAAAAACAACAAAATTATTTCCTGAGATATGCGGTGCTTACTGGTCATAAAATACATCATGAATGGTTGACTCCATCGGTGAGTCTTCTCACGTCGGAGGAGTTCCTTCTCGCCTTCAGATAATTCACTAAGTTCCTCGAAAGCTTTCGGGTCTTGGGCCACCAGCGCGCCCCGTTTGAGCTGGTCCACAATGTCCTCGAGATCTTTCTCTCGGGCAAATTCTTCAACATCACGGTAAAGCTCCTCCCGAGTCAATCCTGTGAGGGGGTTCTTCAGTTTCGTGTTAGTATCTTTTTTAATAACATCCCGTGACCAAACCCTGGCTGTCTCCGCGGCATCTTGTTTCTCGGCTGAAACGGTGGACTCAAGATGCTGAGACGTCAAGCAGGTGCTTCGGGGTCATCGATCTTCCTATCCATGGCAGTAGTCTAGGTGCGGAGCACCTTGCAGATTTGAGGACCAAGGCGTGGGTCAGTATGTCCAAGAAGAGGTGCAGGATACGATAGGCAAATGAGAGGCAGCAGAAGGAGAGAATTCTGGGGCCACACAATCTCAGAGGGTGGCAGACCGTCGCTTTTAATGTGTCCAAAGGTCCAGAAGAAGAGCCGTTGCCCGCACAACAACAGGGATAGTCACCGTGCCATTCTGCTGACCAGTGAAGTTGATTTACTCCGCATGATGACTGCGCGTCCCCAGATTAACTAACACGTACCCCAGAGACTTTCCCGCCCACTCCATACTGTCCCCAGGCCAAGAGGCTTGGAGCACCCAGAGCATCCTAGTGGCGTTCTTGGAAGTCCCAGACGACATGATCGGGGAAATCTAACCTGCCGCCCAGGGTCCACTTTGCCAATGTTGCTGGGTGTGTGGCTACTGCTATGTAACGAAAAACGGACAGTTCGGCTGGATTAATGAGCCAATGATTTTTATCGGAGCCTATAGTCGCTTCGCGGCATTCTGTGGCTGACAGGGCACTGCGGGACTTGAGGAGGTTATTACGACGACAAATGAGTTGTAGCACAAAGTAAACAGGACTTGATTAGTAGCAGAGACATGACTGGCCGGCGGAGTCACGCAGGTATTTCCAGCGATAGTGCATATATGCAAGCCATGTGGTCCGAGAAACGCAGCAGTGCCATTTCCCTGTAGGTATGCCCGATCCAAAAGAGACCGGAAAAAGACTAGCGGGGCTCATTGTGATAATAACCGAAGGTCAATTGGACAGAATTCTCAAGGCTTAGGGCTCTGACAGCAACCCTCTCCCCTCTGGCATCATAGCAGAGGAATCGGCATCTTCGCAGTCGGCCTAATACTTCTCGGCAGCTTGGCGCCGAGCGCGCACAGCCAGTCATCCCGAGCTCTTTTCACAGAAACTACCTACCATTGGCATATCCCGCATGCGGAAATAGCAAGATTAGCCGCTTGGCTTACATATGCCGCCCCTGCAAGGCGTCCACAGCTGGTCGCCTGAGAGCACAGGTTCGACTCGTCCAGTTGCCGGAACCCGATGAATGACTAGGAGGGGTGTCCATTTTGGATGTTGCTTTCCGTCCAGGGTTCTTTTTCATGTGGTTCTGAGCTTCTTAAGGACAGAGTTCGTTTAAGGGGTAACGTATTCACGTATAAGCGATTCATCAGCGGCAGAGAGATAATTTTGAATTTTGCCTTTCGCTTGTGGCTAGAGAACAGCGCCATTAGAGACATGACTCCCACTTGATATTCTGCAAAAACTCCTCTTGTGGAATGATGTTAATGTTTATCTGCTCACAGAGTACTCCGAGGGGGAAGGATGAAAGAAAGGAGAGCTGCGACCTCCAGGCTTGCTCGACTCATTTCCTATTTGGTCCATAGATCACATGGTTATATGCCTTAGCCTCAGGCCCTCCATCCCACATCCCAAGAGTTAGTCTCACTACAGTTGCATCGCTTTTGAGCTGGATCTTCCCTTTATTGGCTGATATACTCTCTGAGAACTGGAGGCCGAGATGGCTAACAACGCGCCGCAAGGGACACCAAGTCACGCAACCGGCCATCTCTTGGCCAAAGGGCTGGATGATGCCATGGTCAAAGTTAGTTTTATTGAAATATGGGACCACGCTGCAGGACCTCCCAGATCATTATCGTGAACTTATTCGAGCATTTACGGTCGCCGGTGGGTCACTTGCAGCGAACGGTAAGCTGAAATGCTAGCCAGAAATAATGGAAATATTTACAGCATAAGACAAAAGACAAAGGAGAGGAAAGATATGGGTTCGACAACAAAGATATCTGAGCTATCTCTATCATATTCCTGAGGTGTATCATGATGACCCAAGTTGCACGCCACATAACTTTTCTATGACCTCCATATGGCAGTAGTGGCCAGGTATAGAGCTATACCGACGTCACTGTCGAATTAGCACCTTCCATCCCCCTTGGAAATTCCTACTAATCATCATAGCTATTCCTCCTGCAATCGAAACCCCACCCCCAAAGATCCACACGGCATTGAAGCCCCGGTTTTGCAGGATGGCCCCAGCAGCGGGAGTCCCAACTAGATTTCCGACGGTCATCACTGCATACCCCATTCCCATTCGAGTGCCAATAAGAGCCCGATCCGGGGAAAGCTTGACAAAGCAGGTGGGTGGCAGGGACACAAATGCTCCAGTGAAAAAACCATACAGAAAAGCCACGATGACCACTCCCGCCAGGTTAGATAAATTAACCAAAGCAAACACCAAGGCCCCCGAGATAACCGTGCATGTAAAGATGATGTTGAATGGGCCAATAATATTGGCAAATATGTTTGGTAATATTCTCCCCATAACAGATCCGGTGGTCAAAATTGAGAGTAGATAGAATCCAAGGTCATTGGCGGCGATCCCCTGACTGATGGCAAAGTATTGAACATAGTAAAATGGGATGTTGAGCGAGATGAACTCGAGAGTTCCTCCCAGTACAAAGAAAGTATAAGCGGGCTCACGAAATGCCCCAATATCCAAGAGTTTCCGTTTGCCAGATGGCTTCACTCGTAATCGAAGGACCGTGATAGGGATGGCTATGGTGACTAATATGACGAGGCCAATTGCCCGACAGGTCCATCCAAATCCAATTCGATCGAGAAGTCGGTGAAAGATCATCGGATATAGAATACCTCCTACCGCTAAAGTTAGAAGCCCATCCCGCTACAGGGAAGCACAACTCCTATGGCTTACCCAATCCACTGCCAGCAGCTGCAACGCCATTCGCGAGGGCCAGCTTCGTGCTGAAATAGGTGGAGAGCACAGCAATACCAGGAATGAGAATTAAGCCTGTTCCAATACCGATACAGAATCCTTGTGACAGTAACACTTGGTAGTACTCCTTGGAGAGGCTCAGCATCATCTGCCCAAATACGATCATGAATGAGCCGCTAACAAGAAGGGGATAAAAGTAGCCTGCATCATACAGCGGACCGGTCATCAAACCGAAGACGAGGAGCAAAGACGACTGCACTGAACCTATCCAGGATATACTCGATGAGGATGAGGGAAACAGTTCCTGGGTCTCATAATAGGTCTGATAAGCGCCAAACGTGTTCAGGACACCCCTATACACGTCAGACCTGATTAACAGAGCTATCCCTCTCTAACTTGCCATGTGTTGAAAAGGATAAAAAACGTTCCCATAACTTGCACCCACGCCGTGATCCCGCCATCTGGAATAGATGTTGTATCATTAACAGAAGCTTTGACTCTCGTCTCAAGTGTCTCATGATCAGAAACGCCCTTCTCGTTGGCTCCCCGGTTAGATATTCCGTCCATTTCTGGCTTGTTGAAGGATGAGGGTTATCTTAGACTTCTATGTTGGCAACTGTACTTTGACGTAGGTTGTGCAGTGAAACACCCGATGTGTCTTGGCTTGAAGCTTCGTTTGTCTACTCGCGTCTTTTGTATGATGATCAATGTAAGACGCAAAGTACTCGCAATCATTAAGCCATAACATTAACGCTACCTTTGCGTTGGGAACCGTCGCGTAATCCAGCGGTTTATGGAGTGTTCTCTTTGGTATGTTTCTCCCATTCCATTCGTGTGCCCGCCCTTAATATGGGTAGTTCACTTAAAACATCTAAGCTCTCGGTCCGCCATATCACAGATAGCAGTGAAGTGATCGGGGAAGCCCGATGCGGGATCCCCCGCCCATCGGCCCTAAGAGACGGAAGATAGTCGTCAGCATATCGACACTATGAGACAAGCATCCGGCAACTACCTTGGACTTATCTTGGGCTGTCGGCGATATGGGCGATTATTCTAGGGATAAACGGTCATCTTAAATTAGACGCATTGATCAACTCCTCACTGAACCAACTTAATTCCCAAAGAGCTCGAAACACAGAGCATCCTGCCCCAGTTTCTCGGTGGGTACTAAAAACAGTCTATGAATATTGTTGTCTCTTGGCATGAATTGGGACTGACTAGTCCATCCACTGGGAGGGGAACGATGATCTCATATGCCAATCTGCTATCTCGCCAATCTAATAAGGTAACTGAATACCTTAGGATGGGAGCCAGGAGAATAGATTTGTGATTATGGTTAGATACAGATGAGGCTTGCTTATTGGTGGTATCTCCAGAAAATCTTGTCATGCACATGAGACTGCATGGAAGGCTAACCCTCATCATCATGGAGCTCTACACAGACAAACGCTACACTAGAAAGCCATGTTGGAGGAACATGCAAAGGTCTAAGCAAGTCTAGATGTATTGAAATGCAGAGCTCACACTTACAGAGTAGGTACACACACGATTTACCACCGGGGGTAATGTATACTTGGCCGTGATATTTCGCACATGTCCTGAACTTCCCATGACTTCTATAATTGGTCCTACAGCGAAACCCAGCAAAACAAGTGTCTGGCCTAATATCATTCCATTAAGGGCCCTTGGGATTAGAGCCAATGAAAGAAATCAGTTAGCCAAAACAACCTTTCAGTTGGATGGTGTGTTTTTCTGATTGGTCGCATCATATCTCCAGCCAAGGTCAGCGACGACTCCGATGGAAGCACTATCCATGCATAGGGCAGTGCAGCAAGACCATCTGGTATATTTTTGGCACTGCCCTCTTCTGTGCCAACTCCTATTGGGCGGCTAGTACCCAACTCGCTCAATTTCGTGTTTGAGTCTTGGCTGATGTTATCGTGTAGATCACCAGTGTGGCTTGAAACTCTAAGAAACAACACACTATCTCATCAAGATCATACAAAAGAAGGATTATGCAGCCTGTTCGCAGATTATGGCTTAATATTGCAAACTTATTTTTAAATCGCAAAGTTCAGATTTCTCCTGCGGGCCAAATATGACGGACAGGAACTATCCTTTACTGGATGGCCATCCGGCCAACTTATCGCTTCGCATAGCAGCACTGGTCAGTGCTTTTACATCTTTGGCGGTATTCGCCTGGGCAATAAAAGCTCACGATCGCGTGTTTACGGATCTTGATGGAGCCTCGCTGTGTGTCATGATATTAGCTACAGTAAGTGAGCCACCTCATTTTACGATCTATTGCTATCTATACGGAAGCTCATATTGTCGAGAAGTCTTCATATGCAGTCCTTTGGTCGCTTGTGCCCTTGACAGTCAGGCTTCTTCTCCGTCGAGCTCTCCATCCGGGCGTTCATATTGCATTCGACTTTATTGCTTTTTCGGCAGTGTTTGCTACGACTCTCGTAACGATGATCGTGTTGACACCTATCGCGGAAGGAGGGTATTCCTGTCGTAGATCTGCCTGCCGGGATACTACGTTGCCAAAGGTCGAGTTCTTTGGATTCGCCATGGCCTTGCTCACTTCGTAAGATGAATACAAATCGGTGCAATTGAAACAGTTCTTAAACTAACGTGAACAGGGTGCTTCATTTTGTTTTGTTCGTCTGGGCCTGCTGGGCTTGTGACCGTCTCAGGAAGCAGCCCCGCAAGACAGAATTCTAAGCGCTTGCTAGCGACAATATCTTCTTCGTGATAAAGATAATCATGAGAACTTACGACACATATACTTCGCCATTAATGTCTAATATTGTGATTTCCAATCATCCGATAATGTTTAATCATGATAATACCGTTATCCTACGAATGCATGGACTTTGATGTTCTGCCGACATCTGAGGATGGCTGGAAAAGACGTGGAATGAAATGCATCATCCTAATTTTTGATTTACTTGGCATTCATTTTGGAACTCTTAGTGAGCTGTCTCTTCGCGCTAGGAAGCCTATCAGGTCTATGATGGCATTATTCAAACGACCACTAATATTTAATGCGAGTGAGATCATGTCATGTTAAGATACATAATGCTTATAATTTTTTAATACCTATATATCACAATCAAGATTCAGGATTCACATCTGCCATATACAATCACCATGTGCCAGTCCACAACTTACACCTAGCCCCTTGCTCCTTTATAAGGCAAGCATTGACTACGATTTTGAAGATACGATCATCCTATTAGATTGGCGCCATGGTTCGTCCCTCGGACTAGTGTTTCAACTACAGGATGGTTCAAACTAACGACGAGAAGCGCATGTTGCCCTTTGTTTGCAAACCCATTCGAGAGCCCATTAACCAGGAGAATATTCTGTGATATACATGTTGTAAAAGAGGTACAATACTCGCTGACTGCCTTTCCACTTCCTCAAGCCCATCCACTATAGTTGCGTTATCCTAATCAGATTCACGACTGGATCTACCAGGCCACACTGCCACTAGCGCCGTTCTGTTCGCAATAGTAGAGCAGCTCGTCACCTCCAATGTGCTGCGCTGCGGATTCGCAGTAGTAGAGGAGGTCCTTCTCGTTCTTCACTGTGCAGTCGGGGCACTGGTCCCATTGCTTGTCGCCGGTGTTGCGCTTCTTGTACGCGGCACAGGCCTTCTCGGTGGCAGCCCGGTTATAGGCATCCTAAGTCAATCGTTAGACTGGCTCTTGCGGGAAATTAAATGGGGATAGCACGTACGACACCGCCGTTGGAATCAACGCAAACACCGGTATAGTGAAGATCCGCAACGACACTAGAGAATTGTTAATACTGCCAGTCGTCAAACTTGATTAAAAGATAAATAGATTCTCGTACCCAGCGGCCAGAGCTGCAACGATCAAAGAGAGGGATGCCTTCATGGTTGATTATGTCCCGACGAAGAAGTGAGAGATGATAGGTAGTGTGTTGTGGTTTTGGAATCCTAGATTGGAACTCCTGACGTTTGCGAACAACGGTAGTACTTAAGAAAGATAACGAACGGTCACCAGAGGGTATCCATGGCGGAGTATATGTGTACAGAGCCGATCCCGGGGCTCCTGTCATGGTAATTGCATGTCTTGGTCTAAGGCAAAATATCCGAAGATTCCCCATGTAGATCCCACGATCATAATCAGTGAACCGACAGGACTCCTCATGGAATGACCCGAATCAGAAAAATGTGCTTGACCGTTGATAATGCAGGTACCGGCAGCGATCCGGGACTCTATTTCCGGCTAGCCAACGTCTTTCAGCGCGGGATATGTTTCACTTCTGGACATTAGACGCATGTGCAGGACTGCGTTTCATCCTTCGTAGCATTAGTTACACCTCACTGTCTCAGTTGTAGATCCAATCGGAACCACGTAGGGATACCCGGGTCGATCATTTTGGAAGCGATCAACACCGGTGGGCGATGGGGATGCACAAAATAGTAAGGCAAAGGAATATAGGGTGGCAAAACTGTAGATTAAAGGCTTGATATCCATGGCTGTGCTCCATACTGAGACCATCAGGCTTCATTCTACTCGTGGTTCGTCGACGCTTGTGGGGCTGGATGCAATCAAATGTCTTATAGTGTATGACTATCCCCCATGCTACTGATCCCTGGGGAAAGCTCCTCAGTTTTGCTCCACTTCGCCAGGTTCCTGAATGTCTGTCCAAGTCATAAGGCCCACAGTGGTCAGAGTTAACATTAAATCATGGCCAATGACCCGGTGTCTTGGGTCCACGACTGATGATCGACAGGAACATGGACCCTATGCCTGAGTACGTATATTCTTCAGCGTAAAACTAATTAGATTAACCTGCGGGAATTATTGCTTCCCACACGGCGGCTATCTACTGCTGCCTTCCAAATATGGAGGTGACATTCAACTACCATAAGATCCTTTAGTCTTGGACTGTTTCTAAGACGCTCATCTGTTTCCGGGAAATCCTCGGAGAATTCCTTCCAAATAGGATAGAGGGATCGCCTGCCAATCTTCTAACGCCACGGTGAATGGCACGTCAGCTATGCCGAGAGTGGCTCCTGATTCGGAGGTATTTGTCTTGATCTTTGCGTCCGTTTGATTCCCAGTGAGAGCAACATACTCCCCATGACCAGATTCTATATAGAAGCCTCCTTCCCGTCAATTGACCTCCCTTTCTTCGACCTGTTATCTCTCCTCAAACAACCTTCACAATCCTTTTTAATACCTCCTTAGCAATTCAATTGCTCATCTCGACATCATGAAGGTCCCCTTCGTCTTGCTGGCCTCCCTTTGCGCCAATAGTGCCCTCACTACGGCTCTCCCTGCCGATCAAGTCTCCGCCGACAAGGCCATCCTCGTCCTCCGCGACGGCACTACCAAGGCTGTTGAGCAAAAGGACCTTGAATCTCACCTGAACGGCATCTCGCTTGAGCCCCCGACCGACAACCTCCCCCGGTCCTTCAAGTCCGACGGCTTCACCGGTCTTCAGAAGCGTGGTGATGCGCAGTTCATCATCCCTCTCCCCGACCAGGAATTCCTGGGCTGGGATGTCGCTATGTCCCCCATCACTCACGCCAACGGAGCCCCCGCCACTGTTGCCATTGCTGCCGGTCAGAGCATTGCCAACAGCATCAGCGTCGGTACCTCTTTCACTGCTACTGTCGAGAAGTGGCTCCAGATTGGCGCCAGCATCAACTACCAAGATACCGTGACCAACACGCTTACCGGCACGGCCACCATGACGATCCCCCAGGGCAAGTGGGGTGCCATTGTTAGCAACCCCTTGACCCACCGTCGCCGAGGCTATGTTTTCAGCGGTGCTCCTGGCAAGGCTCAGTATGAATACTTCCAGGCCGACTCGTTCGACCGCAAGAGCGTCGCCTTCAAGGAGGCCAAGCTGGACTGGGTCCAGGGTGTGATCACCACTTGCCTGGGTGACAAGTACCCTCTGAAGATGTGCAACGGTCAGGGTGAGCTGAAATAAATGAGCCTTTTAGTGACCAGATGGTACGGTTTTCGATGGAGAGGGTCGGTACTCGGTGGAGGACTCCTGGAATAGTGTCTTCGGCTGCCTTCCTATATATTGCTGGGCATGCAGCACAATCACACATGTCGACTATTTTGTATGTATACTTAGCTCTGCATAGATGTCTTTTATCGTTGGCTTGAGGTAGACATTGCCAAAGAGATTTGATATAGAACTGCCGCATTCTGTTCAATTTAAACAATGCTTGAGAGAGTGTAGCTGGTATTGGTAGCTCTAGCCATGACTTAAAAGCCCTCAACTGGGAGTTTCCAAGGGTCCTGTATTGTTAGTAGAAATCCGATAACTTAGATATCTTCCAACATCTTGCACCTGACGAAACTACTCAAATCAGGACTTACTCTCTCCGTGTCGAATAATATGTCCGAAATAGACAGTAACAAGTGGAGCTATGCGTTTGTATCCTGTATAGTCCATAGGGCCTCCGTGGTCATGTAGTATATGCTTTCTAAATTATATAGCAGAGACTGCAATACATTGTAAAATTGAAAATATGCTTGAAAGGCTGTTCGACAGCACAACTTATTCCGATATAGATGGGTAGGTATAGCATTCTACACCCGCAATATATAGATGACCTCCAAACCAACCAAATATGCCGGCGACCAGAAACCGAATTATTCCTTGGATATAGATAAATTCTGTAAAGGCTATGGCTAGCAGGTTAAGTCTGGGAAGTTTTATCGGAAATGAGGGAAAAGATAAAGAAAATCATCAGCGATGGCTTTTGAACTTTTTGCATATTTCTAGACAGTTTATGCCTACCAGCAGTGGTCTAAAATTGTACTAATCCCTGGCTTATGTTGTCAAATATGGTACTGGTATTTCAACAGCTGGCCGGCTGGCCCAATGGCAAGGCGCTTGACTACGAATCAAGAGATTGCAGGTTCGATCCCTGCGTCGGTCATTCCTTTTTACCACTTATCTGTCCACATCTTTTCCCGCGTGCCATTTTCCTCATTACTTTTAAATCCCTTCTTTTTTGGCATATGTAGCTGCCTTATTTTCCCATGTGAAGCCCCAACTCTTGCAGTGCTCCAAGAGCCTGCACTTGTATGTCCGCACTACCAGCACTATGCCTTTCAAGGCACATTAGATTTCCTAGTACCATATACACATACATTGTTTCACAAAGCGATATGACCACTCTAGAGCTGTTATCGTGGATTGCAATATTCTAGATCACGATCATTTGTTTAGATAATGCAGCCATTTACTAATATATGCCTACTGTACGGCGTAAACGAACACGGATGAGTTGACAACATATATCATAAGCGGGTCTTGCTAGATGGTTGCCAGCTATATACCTTTCAGTGTATGGGCTGGAATCGTAGAGGAAACTAGTATTTAGGGTTGCTATGTTAATAGCTTGGGTAAATTCCAGTCGAAGACTAGAATAACCCGCAAGCATGCTGACTACTGATTAATCACGAGTATGTTTAACGGATATGATATGAGAGCATACCATGTGAGATCTTCACGGAAACTTTTTTTCTTCGCATATAACTGGTTTCCTACATTCCTTCTAGAAGTGGATCCTTAGTACGAGGTATATGTTTCTTTTTCAGACCAGGGGTTCGTACGAGTAGGTTGATCATAGTTGCGCTATTATTATAGACGCTACTGTTATAGAAAAGCTGACGATCTACAGGGCCAATGGAAGGGGTCGAAGTATATCCATCTCCTGCGACCCAGATACCGTACCTACACCTAGTTTAACAATACGATAGGCGGTGGATATCTGTGCCTGCCTGGGTGCAGCAAGTTGACTCTTGCATCATGTATTTATTTAGATCCAACCGTGAAGACTTATGTACGATGCCACTGAGCTCATTCCATCTCAGAGATATTCTAAACCTGTCGACAATATGTGTACCAGGTGAATACGGTAGGTTCAAATCTTTAGAAGATCCAGATAATATAGTATATGGTGGGCTGGTTGCAGTAGACCTGCCCTTGACATGTGGCTGGTGTGTATTTTAGATATCAATCTGGGCTGTGGAACCCATATTCACTCCACTTATTCCCAATTCGAAGCATAAAATCTCGCCCTTTCCTTTGGCTTCACATATAATGTGAGCTTTGGCACCCAATAGTGGAACCACTAGCTCTAGAGGATCAATAGAAAGATACCAGGAATCCTTTAACGTGCTCTATTTGTCCGGACTCGGGCCGAAGCATGGTCAGGTAAAGATTAATATTGCATTGCAATAATTTCCCGGCTTGGCTACGTATTAGAGGCGGAAGAAACAGAGCTGCTATAATTCTTCGGCAACTTGCTGGGGTCTTTGCCATGCCTACACTCCAGCTGATTCGTGAGTATTCGTAAACTTGCCTTGATGATGGTGTGACAGCCAACATGGACATGAAACCACCCTATGGAGTGAGGTAATCCCAGCAATCAGGGCTTACATTCCAGCTATATAGTACACTAGAGATGCAGTAGGGATAATAACGACTACTATCAGTTAGACCAACTCCACTCTTGTCGCGGCTAAGGGTTTTCAAGGGCGTGAGTGGTGGATCCATGCTGCGGATAATTTCACCCCCAAACCGACTAAGAGGGATCGGCGCCAATTTAAATCAATCTGCTACGCTTAAACTCCTGGCAGACTCGGTATCTTCGGAGGAAGATCCGAAAAATTGCCCTATCCTGTCGTCGCTTACACTCATTAGTTCATCGAGCACCGTGTATTCTCACATTGATTACTTCGGCGCTTGTGGAATAGCAGCGTCTGGTGGGTTTTCTTCGGGCTATCCTTCTAGGGCACGCACGCGATGGGCCATCGTGCATGCAGAAAAGAAGAACGGGCGTTTGAGGTGTGAGATACAGGGTGGCGGTCAGATTTATCTCTGTGTTTAAATAGGACGATGAGTTCGTACATTCTTTTCCTCCGTTCAAGCACCGGTCTTTCTTTCAGCATCTTTATTATTTACTTGCCTACCCGGCTAGATCTTTACCTTCGTTGCGCTGGATCGCATATCTCACTCTTTCACTACCTAGCTCCATTCGTTGTCTGAACTTCTTTCTTTGCCTTGACAAAATGCGTCACGTTCAGTCTGCTTCTCTTCTGACGGCCCTCCTCTCGGCCACCAAGGTTGCTGCCCACGGCCATGTCACCAACATTGTGGTCAACGGTGTCTACTACGAGGGATTCGATATCAACTCTTTCCCCTACATGGGTGAAAATGCGCCCACTGTAGCCGCCTGGACCACTCCCAACACCGGCAACGGCCCTCTCGCCCCTGATGACTACTCTTCCCCCGACATCATCTGCCACCAGAATGCTACCGCTGGCAATGGCTACATCGAGGTCAACGCCGGAGACCGCATCAGCCTTCAATGGACCCCATGGCCTGAATCCCACCACGGCCCTGTCGTTGACTACCTCGCCCGCTGTGAGCCCAACTGTGCCTCGGTTGACAAGACCTCTCTCGAGTTCTTCAAGATCGATGGTGTCGGTATTGTGGATGGCACCAGTGTCCCCGGTGTCTGGGGTGACGACCAGTTGATCCAGAACAACAACAGCTGGCTCGTCGAGATCCCCAAGTCGATCGCCCCGGGCTACTATGCCCTTCGCCATGAGCTGATTGCTCTCCACTCCGCCGGCACTGAGGGTGGTGCTCAGAACTACCCCTCTTGCTTCAACCTTAAGGTCAACGGCGATGGTACCGACAAGCCCGCCGGTGTCGTTGGAACCGAGCTCTACACCCCAACCAGCGATGGCATCATCTTCAACATCTACGAGGCCGTCTCCAGCTACCCAGTTCCTGGCCCAGCTCTCTACACCGGTGCCGCCACTGGAGTGACCCAGGCCACCTCTGCCGTTACCTCCACCGGCACCGCCCTCACCGTTGGCGCTGCTGCGACCACCCCTGCCTCGGGCTCTGGTGCCTCCTCCTCGGCTTCTACGTCCTCTTCCGCTGCCCCTACTCGCTCTCCCTCTTCCTCGGCTGCTCCCTCCTCTTCTGCTGCCGCCTCCCGCTAATCGTTGACTTCGAGGACAGGACATCATTAGGGTTGAAGATGCTGCTGCGCTGTAGGGATATCGAAATGCTTTGGAAAGCTGTATTATAGATTCTTACTGTCAGCTCATATGAGCTACAGCCTCAATTAACCAAGTTGTTTTCTGGTCTGGCCTCTCCCTTCCGCGTAGTGAATTTCTTGCTGTGTTTAAATTGTAGTAGTATTCCATGTTAGTGAAAAATACCGCGAAGTCTCAATCACTAAGAACTATTCCTCTTATGCTCTATGCACTAGACTGGACGACGAGATTAGACTGACATTGCGCTCAACTTAACATAATATCAATGCGAGAGCATCGGCGACCTTTAGCCTACGGAGGTTGGTAGCAGTGGAGGCGAGTTATATCGCCATGTATAATCGTCAATAGCAAGAAGATTAAATGGTGGTCTTAAGCTATTCGCATCGTCTACAATCTACAGCGTGGTCATCCTGAGAGTGACTTGGCTAATCATGTGGAACGGATTCTCTGCTTGGGATACAATGTGAGCCTGGTTCCTGTCAATACGGCTTTGTCTACAATTGTTCATATTCATTACTTGCAGTTATCATTTCCAATGCAACATATGGAAAGACACAGTATAACACAGACAAAGACAGCCATGATGGAGCGACTGACATGGCTATCCCAATATCAGCTAACATACTGGAGTTTGGAAAATGGTACTTAAGAATATTGTTCTCTCAAGCTATATACATGGCCTGCTCTCAATTTAAACATTATGTATACAATGCGTACTCTACCCTGTCTATATGCTTCAACCACGCCAATCCCCTGCAATACTTAGAAAGTAGCCTTTCCCAGATTCTCCGCCCAGTTCTCCTCCTTAAACGGCACATTTGCCTTGACGAAGTCCGTAGACTCCAGTGCATTCTTCGCAGGCTCAGGCAAGCTCTCATAGGCAACCAAAGGCTGCGATCCACCCGCCTCATCCGTGAGCCCGCACTGGTGGTTCACAGGCCAGACACTGTAATACCTGATCAAGGGGTGTGTCTCCTGGAGCGAGTAGCCATCCGTCGAGCAATCCCATTTGCCATGGCCGGAGGGACACACGGCAAGAATATTGTCCGCGGATGTCGTGGCCGGGTCAGAGATCCAGACGATCACGCCCTCCCAATCGTGGCGGTGTCCCATGCCCGGCGCGGCCTGGTCCTTGGGGAAATACCACGAGTACATGAGCGCGTACTTGTCCCCGGACTGCCGCCCCGGACGTAGACTTGGCCGTCGCTCTTGGAGCAGTCGCCACTGCTGGAGCCTGAGATGTCGAGGCGCCGCTGGTTGCACTTAGTATGTTTAATCAACGGCGAGGGGTGTCCTGCTTACTTGGTGTTTCCCTGGGCATCCACGGCAGGGAAGGGGACGCATCCGTTGACGACTTTCAGCAACGGCTGATACGCCTTGTACACCTCACCAGTGACCCCGGAGGGTACTGTCTCGGGGAATCCGACTACTTTGTCATGGTCGATGGACTCTCGGCGGATGAGACCGCCCTGGACGAGCTGCGACAGCGCAGCGGTAAGGAGAAGGAGTTTCGAGACCATGTTGGAGATTGGAGACGATCAGTCAATTGACCGATAATGTACCCACAGACGTGCCTTACTCTTTATACAGGCGACCGACCCATTCGCATAGTTCGTCGATCCCTATTCCTTCGTGCAAGTAATTCTCCGACGTTATGCCGATCACCAGCGGACCCCCTGCGGAAGAGCGCGATATCCGACCAACCGGGCGTTATCAGGAACGTGGTACCTGAGAGGATCGTCAGTGGATAAGTCAGAGTCTATCGGACTGATCCTGGCTTGGCGGGTGTGGGTTGCCATGCACCGTTGGATTGACTGACATCTAACGCTTTCCTTGTCTTAGGTGCTGACCATCCCCGTAATCGTTGCCAATCGGAGACGGTTTGTGTAGAACTATTGATGCTAGTGCTAAATAGCTTGCTCGTGAGTGCTACTGTGCTTGTAGGATGTAGCCCATGTCACGTCTGAAGCCATGTCTACCGCGCTGTGCGCTTTGTACCCATTCTGGCAGGTCTTATCATTCGGAGATTTTCACTAATCGAGTAGTTAAAGCGCTTAAGGCGTATCATGTTATGCAGCCATCCTTGCTAGCTTATTCTCTGCAAAATGAAGGATTCGAGCTACCTTTTTTAGTCCCGACAGGCACGCAATAAACTGCATGCCTAGGCGGTAATAACATAATTCACACAAGAAAGATAAATAGTCGGCAGGACCAGAAGATTAAGTGATGAGACTAATATTAATTAAGTCGGCTATGTATACTGAACAATATCGCCAATAGCATGCAACCTAACGGCCACGCAACTGTTTTAACATAAATCGCCCTAACCATGCACGTCCGACCCCGTTGATGGTGGCGCAATCACTCAAGCTAATTAGGGCAGACAAGTCAGGAAGTCGCCCAACTTGTCCAGCACCTGTTTCTGCTTCGTCGCATCCGCATCCCTCTTGTTCGACGCGTTGCCCACCGAGATACTCACGTAGCAGCCCGCACCCGTGACCTTGGTCTCAGTCGGCAGGCGCTGATCGTTGTTGCAGGTTTCTACATCGTCGCCAGAAATAAGGGGCACGGCGGTGTAAATGCGCGAGAGCACGAACTTGAAGTCGTCGACGCTGGCGCAGTCGTCCACCTTGGGGAAGTTGACGTTGAGGTAGACGTCCTCGGGGAGGTAGGGCGTGCCGGCAGCGACGACCTTGTCGACGACCTTGGCCGCCAGCTGGGCGTAGATGGTAGCGTATTCGGGCGTGGGATCATCCCATGCGGTCGCAGAGCCGCTGGATCCGGAGAAGGCAATTGCCGGGATACCTGCGTCGTGCGCAGCGTAGCAGGCGGCGCCCACCGTGCCGGAAATGGCGTTCGCCACTCCTAGGTTGGCGCCGACGTTTGGACCGGTGACGGCCAGGTCCGGGTTGCCACTGAAATAGGTGGTCGAGAGGTTCTGGATGCCATGCTTGATTGACGTGACGGGGTACGAGTTCACGTAGTTCCACCGCGGCTGGGTAGCGTTGTTTCCCACTGCGGGGCTGCCTACGGGGCAGCTGTCAAATTCGCAGGCCTCGGTCAATTGCTTAGGATCTGCATCCATGGAGCCTAAATGTGCAAACGATTAGATTCTAGTTTGGGTGGTAAGGAGAGCAACAAGGAGACCATACCAGTTCCGCTCTTATTTTCCGCTGGTGCCGAAATCACAACTGAGTGACCAGCCGCGGTCAACGTGTCGTAGAGAGTGCGGATGTTCTTCTCGGCCCACCCGTCATCGTTGGCAGAGATGATGTTGACAGCCTGGGCTGCAAGAGGCAGCACGGCGAGGGTGAGCGGAAGATGCATGGCGACGGTTCGGGTAGCAAAGTTAAATTGTTCAATAAGTCTTATCGCGAAACAGGCGCCCTTTATATAGTACTTTCAGCCTTCACTTTGTCTCATATTTGAGAGTGAAGGAGCGCTTTCCAGTTAGTACGGAGTATGCCGTGGCTGCCGAGCCAGACGATCATCATTTGACAATTAGGGCAAATCGGCAGCTGATCTCCGCCAACAAGAGGGCCACGTGCTTGCCCGCAATAGATTAAATCTGTTCGCACGACGCGTTATCCATCGTTTCTCCTCTTGGATATTCACTGCGATTGGCTCGGCTACAGCTTAGCACCGGGGTGCCTAGAGCTGCATTCAAATGTACCTGGAAGTCTCTGCAGGAGAATATCTGAGCGTTGCATTACCGATGCATCGGCTGGACCAGAACACTGCACAGAGTTATACAGCCACGGGGCAATGGGGCACCAGGGCACTGCTCTTCTTTGATGCATAACTTTGCGGTATACATACTTACTTTCTCCTTTCTCTTTGTTTTTTATTGCCTCATAGGGGCTTCCCTCCGCGGTCTAAAGAAGACGCGTAGCTAAGCCACACTCTCCCAATCATGCAATATCAAATCCGATAGTATGATATCTTTATTATGTTACTCACAAGCCCCTTTCTTTTTCAACTATTTTCTCGGTAAGCCGATTGTGCTACTCCTAAACACGCAGAATACCCGTTGTGAATACACTATTTGAAGGATCCCGTCCAACCTCGGTCTTGGCCCGAAACAATGTATGATTCCATAACTTACTACAGGCTCACTCAGCCTCGGGCTTCCCATCTATATGGTCTATTTTTGACTCTAGTACTGAAACGGTAGCGTTAGGGAGTGGAAATATCATCTTCGGTGATCTTCCGAGTCTTGTAGAGCGCTTTAGTACCAACTGGTCGCATGAGGTGGGTATTAAAAGGATATAAGCAGAAGCATGGTACAGGTTTATTAGTCTAGTGGACTTGGCATAGCTTGTGTTCATGGTATGGGGTTCATGATCACCATTGGCAGCTGAGCCTGGCGATTATCCACTAAAAGAGACGCGATTGCTTTGAGTAGATACGGCCCTTGGGCTTTCGCTTGACCTAACCACGATACTGGAGGGGCTCTTAAAACAACAATATGTAAGGAAGCGTAAGCTGAAGCATTGAGAAGTTGACTAGACCGTCTGAACTAGTACTGATGGGTAGACCTGTGTTTCTTCCGCTAGTGTACGACGTCTATCTCGCGCTTTTCCAAGATGATCGAGTCACAGCATCACTCAGTACGAACAGAGGTATGTATTTCTTGTTCACAGGCCATGGCAAATACGTAATAGAGCACCGGATGTGCGCGGATAAAAGGTATGGTGCGGGGTGTGGGGAAGAAACTTTGTATGAGCGATTGTACCAGAAAACCAATCCATGCACTCAGTCAATAGCAGGATTCTGGTCGGGAACAATGGAGACAGTTGAATATCAAAGTGTAAAAGTCAGTGTTTAGGGCTACGTTATGGACCATTGTGGAAAGTGGTCACGGGTTCAATCCGGTCCATGATGTAAATAGAAACACGGACCACCCATTTCCCTAGTATGGAAGGCATGATGTCTTCGCAATTCTAGCCAAAGCTGTGAATGGTTCACCATCCATCCAGGTATCCATCAGAAATTTTCCTTTGTGGGAAAGACATTCAGGTACAGATGCTGTCATACAGACGACTTCCGCGTGCGTACACCAGTCTCTCAGAAGTGATGATGTCAATGAGATCACTACACATTCCGACAGCCGTTTGGCGAGACTTTGATGTCCATTAAACGCTACTCCGGTCCGACTCTTTGCTAATTAAGCAAGTCCAGACTTACGCACATGCACCAACACGGTATTCTAGTTGCAAATGTCGGCCGAGGTCGTTCCTCCCACCGCCGGGCATCCGTCCTTCCGGCAGGACATATTCCACAATGCCATCTCTGGAACAGAGGAGGATGGGAGCACGGGTGACGCTCGAAAGCTGGGAGCCCTTCAGCGGGCTAGTGATCAAATCGCTTCCCGAGTACGACCTCAGCTCGATGCACCCGCAAAAGAAGTATTCGATAGTGTACGTTCGACGGTAGAGGTCTTCGACGGTATCGCAGAGGAACGATTACGGTTTATGCCTGAGAATGGCAGTCAACTTGATCGAGCTTCCAAACAAGCCGTGGTCCTAGTGGGCCGGTTGGAGCAGCTCGCCCGACTAATGTCGAGTTTCACATCCGGAACCGAGCGCGCAATCCGACTAATGGGGGGAAGCTTTCTATTGCTTCTGCAGGTGCGTATCCAGATAGGTACAGAGGTTTGATGCCGAAGCAAGCCCACTAACTTGAGATCAGTGTGGTTCAGAACAACCAAAACTCCTAGCCTCGCTGTTTCAGATATTCCATAGACTTGCGGTTGAGTTGTCGCATGTGAGGAACAATCTGGAGCTCTTAATGTCCGACAACGTTGCACAACAAGAGCTTGTTGCTGCGTATGCTGAGCTATGTGGGCTCATTTGTTCAGCCAGTGTGCACTATTTTCAAAAGGCTCATGGCTCCTCCAAGGCTCTGGATACATCCGATTTACAATTTCGATTCAAACCACAGATTCAAGCATTCCATTCCCATCGGATCGCGGTTAAAGAAAGACTTTGGAGTAGACTTATCATGAGTGATGTCAGTGTAGATCCATCAGAAAAGGTGCAAGAGATATGGGAGTACTTGTCCGTCAAGGATCGGGTGGCTTCGAGGGTCCTTTCTGCGCGTTCACCTCAGCCCGCAGAGTACACCTGCGAGTGGTTTTCCAATAGACTTTCTCAGATACGGTCGAGCGAGAGCCAGTTATTTACTGTAACTGGTGACACGGGCACTGGGAAGACTGTTTTATCTGAGTGGATCGTCCAGCAACTTCAAACATCAATGGATCCACATGACTATGATGTAGTCACGTTCAGAGTTTGTGAGATATAAATTCTAAGAAACGTCAAATTGTAGTGAGAGTGAGCTAATTCTCGTGCAGACGATGATATTAGCGCTACTACCGGTCCTATAGGTTTAGCGAAAGGGCTACTATTGGAGATACTCGGGCGTCAAGCAAAGGATGGAGACCTATTAAGGGCTCTGGAACGCTCAATGCACCTGCACTCGTCCGGGGCGTCCAGTAAGAGTGTTGAGGACTCTCTATGGCAGGCTATAAACATTGCCGTGAGAGAAACAGGCAAAATGATGGTTATACTCGATGGTATCGACAGTCTCAACGGGGATCCAGAGGTTATTCCACGTCTCTTTGATCACTTGAAAACGCTGGTTTCACAAAGCCCTGCAATCAAAGTGATTACCCTGTTCAGGCCCTTGAATGGTGTGCCTAGTGATGCTTACCGGATCAAGATCGAGCCAAACCAGACCGCAAGCGATGTTCGAACAGTAGTTCGCAATGAGATTGAGTGCTCCGAAGTGTGCATTGGGCTAACATTAGGAGACCGAGAGGAGATCGAGACTGGAATTGTAAAGAAAGCAAACGGATGTTTTCCTCTTGCACAATTGGCGGTCGGTCAGTTGAATGCCTTGAGAACTTCGTCAGACATGATAGCTCTGGTGCAAAGAATACCTTCTTTGCTTCAAGATATGTTAAAGCAGACACTCGATTCGATTGATCTGAGTGATTGGACAGCCCGATCAGTATTGGCTTGGATGATCGTTTCCCACCGCCCTCTACGAGTGGAAGAGATTCGTTCTCTTTTGGAGATCGACACAAAAAGGACGGAGGTTGTACCTCGTGTAGGAAATGCAGAAGGCGACATTCGTCGGATGCTTGGCTCTTTTATTACCATTGAAGACGAAGTAATTTCCTTTAGATCTTCTGCCCTACGACAGTATATTATCAATCAGGCGAAGTCAGCCGCTGGTGACAGTGACAAAGGAAAACTGCCACTGACCATGAAGGAAGCGCATTCCGACCTTCTTACGCGGCTGCTAGCCTATGTGAAGCTCAATGTGACTGATGAGGTAGAGGTGTCCACGACACCTTTGAGCGAGTCTGTCCAACGCAAATATTTTGATCAATATCAACTTCTCGAGTATGCGGCAAGGTATTGGACGCTGCACTTTAGGTCTTCTCAGATGAACGAAAAGGAAAGAGACAACTTCATGGTAACCAATCTAGTCAAGCGGAGCTTCCCGGACTCCGTTTTGCTTGCACTGCTTGAAGGTGGCTGCCATCAACTGCAATATCTGCCGTACCAGGTGCAGGAGCTGCAGGTCTTTTCCGTCCAGCTTCGTCGGCAGCTCTTCCCTGACCTTTCCCTGTCACTTTTGCAAAGCTTAATCAGCGCTGCACAAGTTTCACAGCGGCTTGGATCCGCTGACACTGCTGATTATTCCTATGAGGCCTGGAGAAAGAGCATCTCCCTCTTGGGATCGCGCAATATCGTTACGAGATTTAGCGCAGAGATCTTCATTGACGTTGTAGCCCAAAGGGACTCTAGGGACAAGGCTTTCTTGGACCACAAGGAGGAAGTACTAGAATATCTGTTGCAAGCAACCAAGGAAGAAGTCGGATTCTCAAATGATGTGGCAATCAAATACACACAGATGCTTCTTGATCACCAGGTCACTCTGAAACACAAGGAGTCGGTGAGAAGATTATCCAAAGAGCTCTTTGAGATGGGCATTACTCGATATGGCCAGCACTCTCGCGAGATGGAAGAAACAACTGAGCACATATACAGGCAACTTGAAAGACTTTCTATGCCTGACGTTACTGCAGAAATATTGCAGACCGAACATGAATTTTCGAGGCAGAGTTTGGCGGTCACCGACCAACGTATGATCGATTCGACGTTGCAAATGGTCAAGGTCTACGAGGAAGGAGGGGAAACCTCCAAAGCCGATGCGCTCTTCATGGATACATGGAGAAAGCTTTTAGCCGTTGAGGACACCTCGGATACTGTCATCAAGCAACAGGCAGAATTCACTATAAGGTACGCTGAGTATTTAGAGCGGCATTCTCGTAAGGAAGAGGCAGAATCCGTTACCAGCGCTGCGTGGTTCTGCTTGGAAGCTCAGGCTTCTCGCTTTGACCAGTTAAGCTCAACTTTTGAATTGGTACTCGGTCATATTCGGAAAATGAAATGGGACGCACTAGCCCAATCTGCCATGGGAACATTGTGGAAATCTTGCAAGTCCCAGAAGCAAGTCTCACACCGGCTTGTCCAAGTCACCGCATCATTAGCCCAGACTGTGCAGCAATCTAGCTCTACCGCCTCATCAGGCGAGGCGTCTATGTCTCAGGAACAAATTGAGATAATCCATGAGATTTTGGAGTCTGCCAGATCAGTAGGGATGCATTCATCCGATACTGCACTGGCTTCGATGAAGGCCGCTAAGCAGGTGGCATCTCCATTGATGGAAAGTGAACGATACGTGGAGGCTGCTAGTATATATTGTCGGGCTCTGTCTCATCTCTGGGCCGAGATTGACAGCAAGTCGACGACGATACGACTCAGCGATAACGTTGATGAAACGGTCGAACTAGCCACAAGCCTTGCGGAGTGTTACTTCAAGGATCTGCAAATTGAAAAGGCGGCACTGGTTTATCAGAACATCCTGGAGGCCGTGCTCTCCTCTGATGCAACTGATACTCAGATGGTTCGATTCACCGCGGACAAAGTAATTACTTTTTACCAAACCATATATCGCTTCCTTGACGCAATAAAGACGTACGGACGCTTGTATAGGAATATTTCATCGCGCTTAGGCAAGGCTCACAAGCAGAGCATTGAGATACTGTACGAGTGCGGAGACCTGGCAAAGAGGTGTCACCTGAAAAAGGAAGCTGAACAAGCATATCAAGAAATATACAACAACCTTGGCCACAACAGTCAGTTAGACCATCGAGCCATTGCCGCTGCTCGTGCTCTGGCTACCATTTACGAAGAAACAGAAAGGTGGACAAATGCAAGGGGCGTTTATGAGACGCTGTGGCGTACAATTTCCACCAGCGACAAGGACCATGTGGTAGATAGTGAGCTTGTCGAAGAGGTCTACCAGCATTATATGACTTTATTGGAGACAAAGCTGGATGCAAATGTCGTGGAAATTCATGATCTGGCAGCTAGCTATCGCAAGATTTGCCAAAGACGGCATGGAAGCTCCAGTAGACAAGTCTACGAGGCAACACTTTCTTTGGCAGAAAGTTCTCGCAGAGATGAGAGATACCATGACGAAGCAGTGGAGCTGTATGAAGCAGCTCTTGAGCAGAGTGAAACTTTCGCCGGGCGACAGGAAATAACCACAATGGCCATGAAGCGCTGTTTGGCAGATCTCTATGCCCGCCAGTCTCGGACCACCCATAAGGCTGCTGCGCTATACAGAGAAAGATTTACCTCTTCTGTTCATGAGCATGGATATGCCTCTCAGGAATATAGTCTCCCGCAGTTGCGGGAATTACTACAACTACTGCATCGACAGAACAGTAAAGTTGCTCATCAGGACCTTCAGGAGACTCTCGGAACAAGTACGGTGGCAGCCTTCGAGGAGAAGACCGACAGCCAGCATTTGTACACCGCAGCTGTCGAGCTTGCGCAAATGTACGTGAATTTTGGATTGAAAGAAAAGGCGTCCGGCTTTCGAGAGAGCTCCGTCGCCGACTCATCCAAGAAGCGATGGAAACGAAGGGGTCTCACAGGGCCGCCAGCTTCGTTGTCGCATTTGAGATGTCTCTGAGGAATAGTCACAATTATGCATCCATGATGGCCGACCTTATCGCAGAGATTCAGCTCTACTCAACGTTCCATCACGCCAGAAAACAGAAGGGCTTCATCCACACGTTCATTGCTGGAATTCGCTTGATGAACTTCCAAAGCCTCAATGGTTGGACTGAAAATGCCAACACCACTGATGCAGAGTTGTTCCAGTTGTTTACAGAGCGGTTCACTGGTGTTGAAACTGGCAAGACAGTTCTGCGAGAGTTCTACGACATCTGTATCTCGCAGGCACCACAGGGAAGCCTAGTGAGGAGATTGACTCGCGTGATCGTCGATAATGTTTATCAAAAGCTGGCTACCAGTCGTTTTCGACAAGCGTATAGCCATGCCACCATACTTCACGAGTTCGTCAAAGATTCCGGCGGATTTCAGGATCAGGACAGTACCCGAGATGGCGTAAAACTCTCCGAGCATCTTCTTGTCCAAGGCTCCCGGAAATGTCCCGATCGTGAACTGGGTGGGAAAATGCTAGTACTCTCCAAGACCATTTTGCATGAGATTGTCTCCTCTTATCATGAGAAAGGGGTGAATCTCACGGACTTTGAGACCACGGATCTCAATCAACTTGCAATCTTGTTAGGTGGCCAGAGGAACTTTGAAGATCTAGAGGTAAACATCCATGCTTACCTGGCCCCCTTGCAATTTTTCTTGTTTGCTCGTCTTTCTATAATGCTGACACAAGCAGTTCCTCCTGAGCGAGTTGTGGTCCTCTCGGGTTGTTCAAAAGACATGGTCTTCGGATACTATCATTCTGGTGGGACGTCGGTTAGTCGAGGCCCGCTTCTCAAATGGTCGGACTATGCAAGCGACTCAGCTGTGCGGGGATCTATGCTATAATGTCAAGCGAGTCTGGGGTCAATTTGATCGAAGTGCTCTAGAGTTGACTAATCTACTCTCTGCTCTCTACACCACTGAAGGTGATCACGTTCGCGCGATGGGGGTACACGAATCTGTCCTACGCCAGCTCCTCGAGGATAGCACAGATATCACGCTGTCGGAAGCGGCTGAGATTGCCTCCAAGCAAACGGCATTGATCCAGAGATGCTACCAGCGCAACGGTGGCTGGAGCAAGGGATCGGATAGGTATGAGAACATGTTCAACCGACTAAATGAGAAATTTGCCAAAGAAAAGAAATGGGCGAGACGGAACCCGCAGCACTGGACGGTCAAGGAAGTTGACAAATTGGGCGTGTGGGAGGCTCCACACGATTATGGATTTCTCATGGCTGGTAAGGGCGCTACACATCAGAACCAGCTGCGCAAGGCCAGTGAGCCGGATATTGAATCCTCTTCAAACACATACCAGAGTGGGAGGGCCCAGCAGGTTTCATGAAGCTCGGATGAGAGTTTAAGCAGGATGTAGTCACCCAGTGACCTGACTATTTTTCGGGCATGGTTAGTGTCGGGGGGTATATAATGATTTCGAAGAGGTATAATGTTGTACACAATTTGCATGAGGAGATTGTCACATAGCCGTTGTCACATAATGGATCCAAGTAGTTATAGCTGTCTGTCGAGTAATGGAAGGCTACCAGTCAGATGGTCACCACGTGATGGAGCGGCACGAGGTCCTCCCAGGAGTAAACCGGAGTCGTTTTTCTCCTCCCTCATTGACCAATGACGGAAGTCCAGGCCGCCGATTGGTGGCGTCCACGCGATAAGCAAAATGACGGACATCTGATTGGGTTCCGGTTATCCGGGGTATGGATCTCCAGCCAATTGAAGATATGGGCATATTGCAAAAGGGGGCTTTCCATGACGCAATTGGCTGACCCAAGAAGTTTTTCCTCAACTCCCATGGGACTTTTAGGTACTGGACCCATGATGCCGGAGTCCTGAGCTTACAAGGTTGACGTCGGACTGAGGCTTCCATTCCAAGCCTGAGGAACTAAGATATTCTCGCCGAAAGCTTATTCACCTGACGCTTTGGATTTAGCCTCCGGTTCTTTTCCCCTTCTTTTCTCTTTCCTTTTCCTTCGTTCTCCTTTTAGCACGAATTGAACCCGTCTGTCAATCCCAACTCCGGCTAGATACGACATACATGGGTTGATAGCGCGATCGATACAGTCGATCAAGAGAAGAGAAACACCATCTCATGTTCTCCCTACGAATTCATGCCACGCTTCACCCCCGAGAATGACGGCACGGGTTTAGCGCGGCAACTGACCGATCCGCTCGTTGCTCAATATGTCTACTCCGTCTTTATCGCTCTCGCCTGGTGTAATGCCCTCGAGCTGGTGGTCCTCTGTCTCAATACTTTCAAGCGCTATGCCGGTACCTACTTTTGGAGTCTCTTCGTGGCCTCCATCTCCATCATCCCCTTTGGCCTGGGATATCTCCTGAAGATGTTTCACATCACCTTCACCAATGGATACCTCGAGTTAGCCATCACCGACATCGGCTGGGTAGGCATGGTCACCGGTCAATCGCTCGTCCTCTGGTCACGTTTGCACCTCGTCGTTCACAATCGCAAGGTGCTCAAAGGCATTCTCTACCTCATTATCATCGATGGTGTCCTCCTCCATACCGCGGCGACCACGCTCGAGTTTATGAACAATGGTCTTTACTACATTCACAACGTGACAGTGGCGTTCGGGATCATGGAACGAATTCAGGTGGTGTGGTTCTGCGTGCAAGAGCTCCTGATCTCCTCCGTATACATTGTGGAGACCGCCAAATTACTGCGGCTGGACCAGGCAGGGCCGTCACGCACCATTCTCACGCAACTGATCATCGTCAATGTGACTATCATGGTGCTCGATTTAGTGGTGGTAGCGGTTCAGTTCGCTGGGTTTTTCACCCTGCAGGTCACCACGAAGGTGTTGGTCTATAGCATCAAGTTGAAGCTGGAATATATTATTTTGGGACGGTTAGTTGATGTTGCACATATCCGATCACAGGCAGCGACTCCACGGTTTCGATTTTGATCGTGTGCGGGGTTCTATGGACATCTAGAACCCGGCGAGTTGATCTGTCAGCATGTCGCCGCTCAGCATTCCGTCTGACATACTAGACCAACCAAAATCTCACTCGCCTTAACGCCGAGAAGCTCCGAGCCGCGGGAGTGGGGGCCATTTCGGTGCTATATGTTGCAGTGGACAGCCACATCTTCTTTTACAACCACACTCATCCCTGTAGCAAGCGGCGAATCATATGCTCATCTCACGATAATGGCGTCCTTGTTAACCGCTGTCGGCCTCACTCAAGCCCCTTTGTCGGCGCCCATCCCTAATTATGGCCCGGGCTTCCTCATCTTCCACTTCGCGTTCGCCTATGGCATCGTTTCCTCGCGTCCCCTCAAACAGTACTACGGCATCGACCACCAAGAATCTCCCCGTCAGGACCTGAACAAGTACGGCGAGGCAGCCGTGCGAGACGGCAAAATTACCCGGAAGCAGCTCGAAATGCTCCAGCGCAACGAAGCGGCGCATGCCAACTCCGTCGAGAACTATACCCTCTTCGTCGCAGGCATCACCCTTGCCACCTACGCGGGCGTACCACGAACAACAATCAATGCGGCGGGCTTGACGTACACTGTGGCGCGGATTCTCTATGCGATCAATTATATCACTGCGGAACGGCCACGTACCGCTACGTGGCGAGGCCTCTTCTGGTGGGTTGGCAATCTGAGTTGTCTGACACTGCTGTGGAAGGCTGGGCAGGCTCTCAGTGAGTAGGTGGCTTCGCGCCTGGAAAACCGGCCATTTGCTTCTGTCTCCATAATAGATGATGACTTCACCTTAATCTTATAAACCTGTTAATAATAGCTGATCACTATAATAAAACAATGTACCCTAGATCTCAGCATCCAACAAAGTAAAGGTATGGTTAATCCTACATTGAACATATCCAGCTCATGCTAGCGCGAATAAAAATTCGGCATTGAATAGTTAACGTGGTATTGAACTCTCCCTTACGGTAAAAGACAAGGGTTTTCAGTGACTCGATACCCAGGATCGGTTGTGTCTAGTGAAAAGCTACATGCTTCGAACTAGATGAGTATAACGGATACTTATACTTTCCTAGTCCGAGTCAAAGGTGCTAGGTTCAGCTTGGGTATTCCTCTTGACTTATCACTACGGTTATGATCGTCGTGAATATGGCTCATCAGACTGTGCCCACCCCGAACTAGACCACATGGTCATACAGATATATGTTATTTGCATATTATTATATGCCATTTTTATTCGGCATGCGCCACTATTCTATCTAGATCTGTGCAATGTAGGCTTCCGGGATATTCAGGTGTATATGACATTAAATCTACTTCATCGACGAGGTGACTATATAGCTAGACACTCAGTACAGTAGGTAGGCTCTACGAGAAACAGATCCTTGCGAGACCACTATTCCACAGTTATAAACAGAGACTCAATATGATTCATCTAATGTATGCGGTGTCATTAAAACTGTTCGCTGCGTAAGGCATGCCTTTTACCATAGACATTTTAGACTCATTCGTAACATATCTGCAACGAGGTGAATCGTTATAACGGCCAAACGAGTGTTCTTCATTGTCTCAAGCTTGCTCTTCTTCCGCCTCTTCAGGAATCAGTCTCTGCCGTTCTTCGTCGCACTCCGCTCGCTTTTCTTCCCTCCATCTTTTCTCCGCGATATATACAAAAGTCACCAGCGTTGCACCCACGATGAGGCCGGCCGTGGCAAGGAAGATATTAATTGGGATCGGGTTACCGTGGAACGGACCGTGCGTTAGATAGTCCAACAAGTATTGGGCGAAGTTGACGAGGCCGGAAAAGCAGATGATCGTTCCGTAGACTCTGCCGAACGTTCCGAAGCCAAAGACTTTAGTTGCGTAGTCGCTGTTGAGGTTAAAGTAGTTAGTATTGGTGCTACGTAGATACGTGACACAAGCGGGTGCACTTACGACATTGCCGAGTAGTAGTATGGTCTTAAGAGAACAAAGAGGATAACGGTCAGATAGCCCGTCCATACGGCGGGGACAGAATTCAACACGCCAGTAGTTGTGGTCAAGAGCACGATCACTGCCAACGTAGCCGGCACACTGAGATTATCAAGCAGGAGCCCGATAAAGGGCGTGGAAAGCACACCCCCCACGGGCAACGCAACATCGAAGAAGTCATTGATTGTTCCGGCCTGCCGTTCTGAGTGGAGCATAAACTCGTACTGCGATCGCACGGTCGCAATGAAATAATTCATGCGCAACATCTGTAGGACAGTCATGAGAAGGATTAGGATGAACCACGGTGTCTTCATTTGTGCGTGGGCCGGTAAACCATGCAAGACCCCCCATACCCGACTCGTTTCATGTCGCTCTTCCTCCCATTCCTGGCGTTGTTTACGCTCACTCTTGTCTCCGAAGACTTTGTCAATCTTGCGTAGTTGATCCTTCCGATGCTTCGCGCGGTCCGTCCGAACCTGCCACAACTCTGAATTGCTTTCAATCTCGGCATCCGAGTCATGGACATCCTGCATACTGTCCTCGGCCTGCTCAATCTTGACTTGCAGTTGTTGTGTAGTTTGGTAGTCGTGGGTCGGCATAATCGTAAGCAATGCGACGAGAATACAAGCCGGTACCGCTAGGTAGGCCAAGAAGAAACGCTCCGGGGAATAGGCCCCTGGATTCTTCTCATACGCCAGGCGATAGAAGAGGTAGACCGCTGCTGATGCATCGAATGCGCCTGTGACGAGTGCGACAATCGTTCCGGTGTACTTGGGGAACGCATTGGCGATTCGGAAGGACGGGACAAAGATGAATGTGCCTCCCAACGCCAACATCAAGTTTGCCGCGATATAACCGTCCACGCCACGCGAGAAAGAAAAGGCCATGAGCAGACTACCAGCGGCCAAAGCTATACAGCCGATGAAACCACACCATCGAGAGCCATAGCGGTCGAGGATGGTGCCGACCGGAAGAGCGGACACATTCGCTGTAATAGAGCCGACCATGAAGAATAGGTTTAGGCTGAGAACGCGTGTGAGACGGATGAATTGTAAGCCGGAATGGGGAGAACGTACCGAAGATCTTGCGCCCTACACACATTGCCCTCCTTGGGCAACACCGTCTCGGTGCACAGGTTCCGGTACACGCCTTCGTTGATCATCACCGGCTTCAGCGCCGCGAAGCCGAAGACGATTCCAGAGGCGCACCAACAAGCCAACAACGTCACGATCACCTGAGCTTCACAACGAGTCAGTGTCTTGATGTGTTCACCATAGCCTTTCTTGCCTACCGAGTCGCTTTGCGGTTGACACTCTGTAGGCTGGAGTCGCCGCTTTCGTATCTAAACGCTCTTCCACAGGAGGCGGCGGTAAGACATCGTAGCTGATTTCGCGCCGGATGGGGATGGAGAGGATACTCGCCGTCTCGACGACATCCACATTATCTACCCCGTCAATGGCAGACACCCGTTGCACTAGGGACATGATAATATGGTGAGAGGCTGCGCAACTGAGGCGCATTCAAGTAAATGAGAGGCAGTAATTGGATAGATTACATATTCTGTGAAGTAACGAGAAAGCGAGAGTGAATGATGTAAGGAATATATGTCTAGACACTGAGCGATCGGGTCCGATGGTACCTTCTGGAACGGTCTTCCTCTTTAGGTGGTTGGATTTCACCGCCTCAAAAACAAGGAATACACGGACTTGACATCAAGCATTAAATCATCTTATCAATCTCACTACTCCACTCGCCCGGGTTAGCGTCTATCACCGCATTTTACAAGGACTTGGTCTTTCCACCGGTTTTCATAACTTCTTTCTTTTTCATCTTTATACTATTTCTCTTGACGCAAAAGGTTATTTATATCTATATACAAGATATTGAGTTAAGTAGCGCCCCAGATGCCTTTCGGTGAACTGCACCAATGCGAAGACTAGGACCAGTCCTCAATATATAATGTAGCTACAGACGTTCTACCATATCAGCGCTATGACGATCACAATCCCATGTTTACCTCTTCAAGGCACACTCATTCAAAGTCCCGAAAATCTTCAAGCAGGAAACGCACCGAAAACAAATAAAATGAACACAAGACAAAAAAAAATAAAAATAAAAATAAAGGAAAAAAAGGAAAGAAAGAAAGAAAAAGAAAAAAACGTCAAAGGACCAAGAACATGGCCAAGTCGACTGGAAGCGCCTGAGGTGGGCATCGGCCAGGTCCAGGCCTTCTGGCTAAATTCTCAACACATCACAGATACCCACTGCATCACCTGATGCTTTTACACGCACTGCATATTCTATTGTTGTTGTTGTTGTTGTTTCTCTTTATTTCCTTCACAACCTGCGATATGATTGCGTTACGCGTATAAGCCGAAATTAGAAGGGTTAATCCCTGTTGTTATTTCTACCTACACACTTACCATCCACTGTAATACTTCCAGATACACAGGACCTACCAGACGTCATATATTCTTCATACGATACATATAAAGTAGGTGATTGTCTTTGACATCTTCCCCGGTTGAGTCAGGTTGGACGACATCACCATGGGTGGCAGGCCATTGACTTGCGGGCTATCAGAATAATCCGAGAGATTCCTAGGCACACAAATAGACCTGTCCCCAAAAACTATAGTATCTATTACTGCTCGGATGAAATCTATATTGAATTAAAATATGTTATGGTATGGATCTTCAAAGAGCTTGGTTTGGTGGATATCTACCACTAGCGCGGAAGAAACAGATTGCTAGTGAGATTACAGGCTACACTGATCAGCTTTGAGATCTAGATCTACTGTAAAAAGAAGTAGTTGGTTTAGTAAGCCTTGAAGGAAACCCTGATTATTGCATTGGACTATCTCCTTTGGGCCGTTCTGACAAGCTCCATTGTTTCCTCCAGAAAAATATCCCGATCGAGGACGCCACCAAAGTATTTGGCTAAGTGATAAGCGATTGTCATTCCTGTTCTTATTGGGTCTGCTTTACCCACGCCGATCACTGCCCGCGGAATATTATTATATACTATGGCAGAGTCGCTGCACCTGTCGATTGGGAGTTCGGTGGCTGGTACGCAGACACTGGGGATATATACCAAAGCACCCTATGTATAACTTCAAGTTAATATGCCTGATTGGCACGAGGGGCTAGAATCTTCCATAAAAAAGTATGATGACGGGTTGGAAGCTGAAGGGACCCACTAGACATAATGTGACCAACCTGGAATGTTCGCTTATACGTTTAATGTCTAAGATGGTATGGTTGTGGATCAAGGCCGAAAAGTTCAGGGGCAGGAAACGAACAATGTCAATCCTAAAATGCCGGTTAGTCCCATCATACAGTTGAAGAATGGTGATCATGGAATAATTTGTCTTATTGAGTCATTGCATCCGCAGATATATACGCTGTACCGTCTCTTACTGCGGTTTGTTCTTTATTCTATACGATCTGCAGTGATCTAGGTTGCACTGAAAGCTTCATTGATGCCTCAGGCAGCATATGAAGGGCAACCTGTAGGAGCCGCCGAAGGATTATGCTTATACCTTGGCAGATACAATCAATTAGGGCAGGGACTCTCACTTCTTCCTCTCGCACAATGAAATCGTATTTTTGGTGACAGCCGATGTGTGAATTTCGGCGTGCTCCGTTCTTGGACGGACGGACCCTCGATCGCAACGCCTCCTGAGGGGTTCTTAAACCTAGTAACCGATGCAGTGGTGATGGTCTGAAACCGTATTCCCCCAGACACCATCGGGAA